GGAAGGAAGGAAGGAAGGAAGAAAGAGAAGGAGGGAGGGAGAAAGAGAAGGAGGAAGGAAGGAAGGAAGGAAGGAAGGAAGGAAGGAAGGAAGGGAAGGAGGAAGGAAGGAAGGAAGGAAGGAAGGAGAGAGAAAGAGAGGGGGAGGAAGGAAGGAATAATGGGGAGGAAGGAAGGAAGGAGAGGAGAGGAGAAAAGAAGACCCTCTGGGAGAAAAAAAGTGAAGTTTGAACATAGGTGACATAGAATTATTGCACCTTCTCAGCCAGTTGCAATAATATTCAGCAAAGCCCAAATGTTTGCCAAGGTGAAATTTGATGAGTGACGGCTTCAAAGTTCTATCTGACGCTTGAGAAAGGGGGCTTTTATTCCATTGCCCCCCACCCCCACAAAAAAAGAGAGGAAGGCCTTAAATGCTTCGCCTATTTCTACTCTCCTCTCCTTCAGGAGTCAACCCAAGACCTGATCTCAGCTCTCCGAGGGGATCGAGCCTCCGCGGTGGCCGAAATCGGCTCTCTGAAGCCAGGGGCTCAAGTCCAGGTTCGCTCTTGGCTGCTGGAACACTGCAGGGGCGCGTTGACGGACCTCGGCGGTGGACAAGACCCGCTCGCTGTGGCGGAGGCCTTGGAGGAGCTCTCCAAAGTGGGAGAAGCGTTGGTGGAAATGGACAACCAGGACAGCGAAGCTCACATGCTTTGCGTTGACCTCCAAATCGCGAAGGGTAGGAGAGATCAGGAAATACTCCCCGTAGAACTGGTCCCCAAAATCGGCCAGAATCAGAAAGGAGGGGAGATTTGAGCTTGGACACCGGCCTTATTTAGATACTAGCTGGATGCCCGCGCTTCGCTACGAAACTACATGGTGGGGCTTAGCTTTGGGGGAGGGAAATAAGGGGAGGGGGGGGAATTCTGCCTTGGCCTACCAGCATCCATCGGTATTCACCTGGCTAGTGTCCTGTCAGTGTGTGAGAGACTGGAGGGCTGTTTGGAAACTGAAGCAGTATTTGCTGTGTGAGCAAGAAGGAGACAGCAAGGAGCCTGGGCGTGGCTTAGCTCAACTGTTCTGTACTAAAGCTGCTTGGTGCGGCTGTGAAACGGAAACTCCTCTCCTCTGCTTGTGTTTTGCCTTTGGAAGAGATTATTTTCAGGTGGGGAGGCGGAGTAGAATTTCTTAGCATCAGAGAATAATAATAATAATAATAATAATAATAATAATAATAATAATAATAATAATAATAATAATAATAATAATAATAATATCGGAAATACTAAATGCTCTGATGGTCATTTTGAAAAATCCTTTCTTGGGGAGCCCCTAGAAGCCAAGAGGAGGAACATACGGGCCAGATTTCAAGTTTGTAGGCTAGAGATTTTGTGAAGATGCGTGAGTGGCATTTTGCATAGATAGATAGATAGATAGATAGATAGATAGATAGATAATACATACATACATGCATACAAGATAGATAGATAGATAATACATACATACATGCATACAAGATAGATAGATAGATAATAGATAGATAGATAGATAGATAGAAAGATAGATAGATAGATAGATAGATAGATATGGGCAGGATCTTAATTAGGGCTTATATTGGGTGCAGGTTTAAAAATCAAGCTAGGACTTACTTTCAGGGTAGGTCGTATTTTTGGAGGAAACAGGGTAACACTCCGGAGTTCAAGGAGGATTGGTCCAGCTGTCAAATGTTGTGTTCTTTCTGTCTCGATTTTGACTGACAGGGAGACCCAAGACTGCCCTGTCGTATCTCCAGAGAACGTTTGGACAAAGCGAACCCAGCGACGCCATCAACTCTCGGCTGGGAATTCTTCAAGCAGTGTTGGGCAACTTGAACGGTGTCCACATTTTGGCTACTTTGGCAGGGAAGGAATGCAAAGACTTAGAGCACCTGATGGGGTTTTTGGATGGCAACCAGCAGCTAAATCTTGCTCAGGTGAGTCCGCCACCGGCTTACGTAGCTCAAGCAAGAAAGCAGAGATGGGGCCAAGGCCATCCGACAGTTACCAGCTGCCTTTGGAGTCGGAGATCAGTGGGGAAGAAGAGCAGCTGGAGCCTGTTCCCAGTGTGCGCATGCACAGAGCTGCCAGATGAAGGGAACCGCTAAGGAACAAGGGTCGACATGGGAGTAAAGCCACAGGTGGACAGTGAATGGCCCCTCCCATAGGGAATAAAAGAGGAGCGAAAGGGGAGTGGGGTTTTGCGGGAGACAATTAGTTCAATTCATTAGGGTGAAGATCTGTTCCTGACTTCTTACCAAGTAATTGCTGCTACAGCATGGCGTTTGGAAGATATCAGCCTGGCAACTCTCCAAGCCTGATAAAGGTCTGTAACTGGGAAATCTTTTGAAAGACTTAGCCGGGACTTTGCTGGAGAGGAATTCATTGTAAAATAAATAAAAGGGGTTTCTCGGGCCAAGGAATCAGCTTCGTGCTGTTAGGTCAGAACAGGTGATTTGAGAGTTGAGCCAAAGCAGGAACTGGGGTAACCACCATCTACTTCATCCCTAGGTGGCAGCCAGAGAAGCGAAGGCACTGATGAATGACCAGTGCCCCCTAGGAGCCATGAAATACCTCACCTTGGCCATCTTGGCAAGCCACAATAACCCACAATACCTTCGCCAACGGGTTGCTTGCTGGACCCAGTTGGAAGATTATCAAAGCGCCCTGACCGACATCCGGAAAGTTGTCCAAAACCACGGCACAAACAGCTTGAAAGCTCAAGTCGGTGACTTCTGCTCCTGGGCCTACTTGCTCTTATCCACTTCTGACGAGGAGCAATCCGTCAAGCAATTTATTCACGCCTTACAGCTTGAAAAATCCTTGGCCCTTAAGCACACCTCGGCTGGCCACAGGAGGGAAGAGGTGTCCAAAGCCTTCCTACGGACTGCCCGAAATTATTTGGCAGCAGGCTGTTATGAAGAAGCCTGGACCACTGTGAAATTCGGCCTTCTGGTGGACCAGGCCAACCCTGAGCTTCAAAAGCTAAACGCCAGAATTAAACGGCGGGGGACTGGTTGCAAAATTCAGTAACCTGCTGTGTTTCCCCGAAAATAAGACCCACCTGGAAAATAAACCCTGGCACAATTTTTCCCAGGATGCTCCTAATATAAGCCCTACCCCATTTAAGATCATCAGCCAGACGGATGCATTTAGTACCATAGTTCCCTCCCCCCCAAAATAAGACCCAACCAGAAAATAAGCCCTAGCATGATTTTTTTTCAGAAAGCTTCTAATATAAGCCCTACCCCAAAAATAAACCCCATTTAAGATCGTCAGCCAGATGGATGCATTTAGTACTGTAGTTCCCCCCACAAAATAAGACCCAATCAGAAAATAAGCCTTAATGCATCTTTTGGAGCAAAAATTAATATAAGACCTGGTCTTATTTTCGGGGAAACACAGTATTTCTTCTTGTTGGGTTCCTCTAACTGCATCCTTCTTGGCCTTTTCTCCTTTCTTTCTGCTGGCCAAGAAACTCTGTTAATTCTTCCGGGGAAACTGAAGAGGGAGACATTTAACTGGTTAAGGCGGCCACGCTGCCGTCGGAATCAGAATTTGGCTTATTCGTCAGTAGGGTTGAACAGGAACAACTAAAGCTTTCTTCAGGTTTTCCTCCAACATGGGAGAGAATCCTGGCCGGGCCTCGAAATTCTCGATCAAAAAGTCAAGAAAAAAGTTTGGGAACTTTTCCAAAGTTGGGAAATATTTTTCCCATGCGTGGGAATCGGATGACTTCACCAAAATTACAAAACGAACCTCAACACAAGTCCCATGCCTTCTTTTTCTATTTGTGTAGAAGTATCACAACTTACAAGAGTTTGTTTAGTGATGGTTCAAAATTACGACGGCGCCAACAAAAAAGTGACTTAGGACTAATTTCTCAACTGTAGTGATTCACTTAACGGTGGCAAAAAAAAGTTGGAGCAAAGCTCACAGCGAATGTCTGTCTTAGCAACAGACATTTTGGTCTCAATTGTGATCACAATTCAAGGACGATATGTGCTAATTAAGCCAAGGAACAATTACAGGAAGGAAAAAGCACAGATACTTCATTCCGGTATCCTGAAAACATTTATCGTGCCAAGATTTGAAATTCTCGTTCAAGGAAGATCGGAAATCTTTTAAATCCATTTAGTCATTTATTTATTTGTTTCAGGGAAAACCAATTCACAGCAGAAAAAATATCAGAATGTATTAAAAAAAAATGTGCCCGGAGGGGCTGCTTTTAAACCAGCAATAGATCTTCTCGTTTCTCAACCTTGGCCACTTGAAATATATGTGGACTTCAATTCCCAGAATTCCCCAGCCAGCTCTGGCTGGGGAATTCTGGGAGTTGAAGTCTGCATAACCTCAAGCGACCACGGTTTGTGAAACACCGCATAGTGTTTTAAATCCGTCATCGCCTGAAGTATTCACCTTGCAATTTTGGAGAAATATTGCAGATTTTTGATAGTTGGTCCTTTTGTTTAAACATATTGCGACTGGTTTTAGGATTGTGCTGAGCAAACAGTGTAAATACCAGCTGGATACACACCCACACCCATTCACACACACAGAGGCACACCCAAATTGTTTTGAAGAAACCAGTCAATGCAACGTCGATGGGTTCCTCTGACCTCCCCTTCTCTTCTTGATGGACCTTTGCACAACCACGCATGGGATGGTCACCTCCTAGAGTTCAAGGGTCCTACATCTTGCCCACCCCCATCCCCCACTGGCTCGTAGCAATGCCACCGGAGAATATTTCTGACCTATGACCATCCAAACTTCTGCCCGCAGACCTGTGACGAAGGGAAAGTTCTTGCGTCATGACAGTCCCTCGCATAATACGTCCACAGATGGATCTATCTGCCACTTCCTTAGGTCCTTCCCCCTCCTCCTGACACAAGGCAGACTTTTGCCATTAAAAGGACTGTTCGTAAGTCGAAAACTGTTGTCACAGTGGTGGGATCCAAATAATTTAACAACCGGTTCTCTGCCCTAAGGATTTCTTCCTGACAACTAATTCATCAAACTGCTCAGAAAGTTAACAACCGGTTCTCCTGAACCAGTGCGAACCATCTGAATCTCACACACCGGCCTGTCTTCTTTGGAGGGACACAGAAGCAGGAGCAGAGAACGACAAAACAAAATGCCATCTAAAGGACAGATTCACACAGGCAATTTCTATCCTGTATTGTGGGTCTCTTAGATTTGCAAACGGATTTGTGTCACACTACACAACCTCACCTGATTCAGAAGAAACAAGGCCTGGCCCACCAAGGATCCAAAAATACTCCATTTTCTTTGACTAAGGCACATTTGGAGGCAGCCAACCCTACAACCCACTAAGTCCTTTGCATGGAACTTGGGAGAGGACCGATTGCATTCAGATTATTTCAAAAGCCCTTCAACGCATTTTCTCTTCCAAACCCACGAGAAAATGGGTCTGTACAGTGAGTCCTGGATTTGTGATGGTTTGTTTAGTGACTGAAGTTACAAAGGCACTGAAAAAAAAAAAGAGGAATCTTTGATCCCCCTTTCACATTTTTACAACCGTTGCAGCATTTCAAATGGAGTCCGCTTGGCAACGGATTCGTATTTATAATGGTCACATGATTGAAAATCAGATGCTTAGCATCTTTGCGGTCTACTGGCAATTAAAGCCCACAGGAAAGTCAGATTTATTTAACGGAGGCCTTCTAGTTTGACCCCCTGCTTTTTCACGGATGCTGTGAGAACTCCCGACATTGGCCAGAGACCCAGAAAAATTGTGGAACTTTTTTGTGTGTGGGGGGTTATTATTATTATTATTTTTGTAGTGTTCTTCTTCAGTATTTCCCTTCCTTGGGAAGAGAAATGATCCTATCTTTAGATCCACACGTGTTTCATCTTGGTCCACTGGAAACAAGGATCCTTTCCAACAGATCCCAATGGGATCCACTAAAGTCCGTGTCCTTGGAGACTTTTTTTTTCCCCCACCATAAACACACAAGTGGGTAGTGTTGCAAACCTTGTCGCCTCTCATCAATTTGCGTAACTCGGCTGTCCAAGAGTCGGGTTAGTTTCCTGTATGGGTTTTACCATGCATTCCTTCTCCGGC